AACAATAACAGGTCATTTCGTGAAGCATTAAATTCTCAAAATCAAGGAATAGTGTGAAAGAGGACAGTATCAGAATAGCAATAAGAATTTGGGAAAGACACACTAACCTCTGTGAGTGAGATTGTGAGGCGTTTGTTTACTTAGGTCTTGTCCCAATATCGAGAGATCGAGATGGAGATCAAGCGAGAGAGGAGCGAGCGTGTGATCTGGGTTCGATGTTGAGAGTGAAGCCTGTGATTGTGGAGGCCATGTTAAGGCCCATTTTTGTCAAGGGCCTAGGTGGCCTCGGGTTGACCCACAAACCCGCAATATTAAATGATGACGGGAAAAAAAAATTGAAACTAAATCAAATGATGCGATGGTAATGTGGAGTCAGACATTTCAAGATAATGAAATGAAATCAAACTCAAGATAGTGGCACCAGGTGGTGCTATTGTTGGTTGTTCTTTGTTAAAGCCGTGATGGGTGGCGGAGGTGGAGGTGGCAGCGGTGTTGGTAGTGGGGGTGATGCAGAGAAGAGAGGCTGATCTGATGTGTTTCCAGACATGTGTCCATGTAGTTTTCTGGTTGCAAGGGTTGGTTGGCATAGGGGAGAGAGAGAGAGAGAGAGAGAGAGAGGCAAAAAAGATAGAAAATGTGGAGGATGATTTTGATGGTGAGGTCGAGATTGAGATTGCCTTGGTGATAGTGTCAACCATTTTGTAATCGATTCACAGCCTCTTCCAATATTTAAGCATTGCATTCATATGACATTAAAAGGGAGGTGGTGCATCGTGTTAGGTAAGCAACACCCACCCATTGCTTGCATTAGCTTATAGAGATGTACCTTAATATTTTGGAGGAGCATGTTAAACAATTATAGCAAGACCTGCTAATCAAATCAAACTATTTCATATCGTACGTGCTACAATTTATTTAATCATATATAACCAAGTTTGTATTGTATTAGATCGAGTTCATGTGTATAAATTGCATCCAATCAAAGTTTAGGAAGCTCATTTTGTATTCAGCCAAACTTGTGTGAATTTGTTTGTTTAATACGCTAATATGTCAGTCCACCAATTAACTACACAAACTTATTTAGATTAAATCCAAATCCACTGTGCACGTATAATTCATTTCGATTTTTCAAGTCCGGTTTAAAATTGTCGAGACAACTTTGCATCTACTAGTGGGCTTCACCATCCGTATTGAACTTCGGCCACCCCCACTCGCAGCAGGGGCTACCAAAAAATGAAATTAAGTATAATAATATGGAGACCTTTTTTGTTAATAGATTCGGGCACAATTTTTAGATTATTAAAGATACATGTTTTGTACTTTTTCTATAAATAGGTCCAATAGTTTATTTTCTTTTTTTGTTATTTCCTATTATGTCCTCCGTTCTATTTTCATCCTCTGAGCTCAGTTCCATCTTTGCCAGCCTCGGAAACCCAGCCACCGACGAAGAGCTCCAAGAGATGATCAAAGAGGTCAACTCCGACGACGATGGGTTCATCGATTTGCATGAGTTCATTGTCCTGAACACCAAGGGCATTGATTCCGACAAGGTTTTGGGGAATTTTAAGGACATTTTCGAATGAGATTATACTGGTGGAGGAGTTGCAAACGATCTCAAAAGCTCAGGAAAAAAGAGCTAGTTGGTTGAGTGCAAGAAGATGATCAGTGTGATTGATTCGAATGGCAATGGGATGTCTCGATTCGATACTGTTGAATCACAAAAACAAACGGTCAAATGAATGCTGTTGGATTTTTTCTTAGTTTTGTTGGATAAATATTTTTGCTGCTTGCTTTCTCCAGTTGGTTTACGCATGATGTTATGATATTGAACATGAAAATGCTCGATGGAAAGTAAGGAGTCCAGTTTGAATTGTGTCATTGTGTTGAGTCAAAAATTTTTACCTTTAATTAAGATGAAAAAAATATTTTTAATTTTTATTTATTTTTTATTTTTTTTTTAAAAAAAAATATATATATACATATTTTATCATTATATTTTTATATAAAATTAATGTATACATAATATATAGACAAATAAGATACATCTCAACACAAATAATTAATTTTTTATTCACTTTCTTTCTGATTTTGTTGAGTTGTAAGAAAAGTTAATTCATCTACTTTTTCATCTTTCTTATTTTTCTTTCTTACCAAATATAATATTTTATTTATCCCTCCAACTTTTCATCATTCCAATTTTTTATTTTTTTATCGTACCAAACATCATAAGTTTATGTGACCTGCCAAAAACCCACATAACTTGGTGATTATTTATGCCCCCGAATCCTTCATTTCTTGTAGCATTAAACATTCATGAATTATTTGAATGATGACGGAATAACCTCATATATATTCAATCAATCTTTATTATTATTATTTTTTTTGGTTTGATTTTTTTTGGAAAAGGTTTCACTTAAATCTCATATTGTACATAAAAATGTATATGCCCAAATGGTGTACGATAAAATGCATGCATTTCGATAAAATTTCTTTGGTATTAAACAAAAAACTATTTCAAATTCACATTTTGAAATTTGAACAATAACAACAAAATTCAATATATTTGATCATGTGACTATCTAATTCACGTTATTGTCTGATTTCATTAAATTTTCACTGCAACTGTCAGTGTGATTGTGTTATTATTTAGTCCACCACCACTGCAGCTTGCCACCTTATATAATACCTCTATCCCCAACCATCAACCCCTTAAACCTCATCCACACGAACATTGTTATTAATGTGATCATGTTATTATTACTACCTTGTTATTGTTTACTTTTTAATATAATTATTTATTTTATTAAGAATAAATTAGTTTTTATACTTGTAGTTGACCTTTTTAAGTCCCCAAAAAACACCTGTCATTCTTTCAAAAGTCCAGAAGTGCGGACCAGCTTCCAAAAAGCCCTCCCCACCCCCCCCCCGCAAAAAAAAAAAAAAGAGCATATGTCTACTTGAATGAGCCTGTTCGGGGCTGGGCTTGCTATGAGGTATTCAAATGGAACAGTTGCTTGGGGTTCAATCAATTGATCTAGGGCAGAGATAGGTTCATTGTGGAAAATGATTTTGTTCCTGTGATACCAGAGGCTAGCACATGTGAATGGGGCATAAAATTACCCATGGTAAAGTAAATTGCTGAGAGTAGATTGGGTGGTGGGAAGCCAAATTCTCTTTGGATTTTTTGAAAGGTGGACTCAGAGTTTGAGGGAAGTCCTATTTTGATCCAACCTATTTGAGCTGGACCACACTCCCTAAGAACATGAATGTCAGTGTCAAACCCAATTTCGAGTATGACCTTTATTTTGCAAAAAAAAATAAAAAATAACGACAATCTAAGCAACATCACAAGGAAAAAAACATGGATACATTCAATCTTCAACCATAACAGTCCCTCCAGAGTTTTTGAAGAAACTGTCAAAAAGTGACCCTACATGTCTTCTAGGATTTGCTTTTCCCCCCTTTTGGGTAAGTGAATATGGCAGAATATGAGTGCTGGAAGGTGAAATTAAAAGCATACACCTAAAGCCAAGAATCTATGAATAAGTTGGAAACTGAATACAAATATTCGTATCTTACCTGAGAAAAAAAGCACCAGAATCTTCTGCACGGACATAGGTAGAGGCTTAAACATGCAGAATTGATGGTTGGTTGGGAATTGGGCTTATGGGCAAATATTTCCTGCAAATTGGGTGAGCACTTGAAACTCAAATATCTGATACATCCAGGGTCATGACACGCGAACAGTCCTTAACATTTTCCTGCAAACTGAGACACGATGAAGCACTGAAGCTATGGAGTTTGCAACTAACATGAACTACTTACCTTGATTTATGCATAATAAACTGGATATCAGATATAACAGGAAACAAAACCGAATAATAAGGGCATCCTGTTTTGCAGGGGAAATGATTTCTTTCAATGATACTGATACTGAAACTGGAACAAAAACTGGCATCAGAGAATACAAACTCAATTTTGGAGACATATCATGTAAATGACAATCATCTTACAGCAGGTCAATCTTTAAAATGAGAACATTTGAATTGAACCAAGTCAACTATTTATAAGATCCAAACTGAAACTGGACCTAAAAAATAAAAATAACAAAGACAAAAAGACAAAATGATAATAAAAACAAGAGGACTAGATTTATATATAACAAAAAAATCAAACAGAGCTCAGTCACCCCCTTTTAATGCCAACCAATTCCACAAATAATGAAAAAAAATTTCCTTCCATCCACACCAAAACTATACAAACCCATTAACCCCGTAGTTTGGTCCAAGTCAATAATATAAGCCGCCTTTTTTCTCCACTTCTTCCTTCTCTCTATGGCAGACAAGTTACATATGCTTATTATTTTACTTTCTCCTAGTTAGCCCTCTTGAAAATTTCAAAATATGGTTTCAGTCAAGGACGAAATCAAACAAAAGATATTCGAATAACTTCCTTAATCATCATCTTCCCCCTTCCCCCCTTCCCCCCTCCCCCCTGACCCACCACCTCGCAACCCAAGAACCATCTAAGATAAACTCTACCAACCTTGGCTGAATATGCAAATTTCTTGTTCATGGCTTGAATTCATATTACACTTGAATATGCTTCTTCAGCACTACACTCCCCATTAGCCAAACTAGACTGGCCAGTCAACTCCTCAGATGAATATCTACCTGGAAATACTTCTACATGATTATCTGCGGCACCCAAATTACTATTTTGGTCTGTAGTCACTCCGTTCAGTGAGACCACCTGGAAAGAAGCAGCCAGCACATCGTCAGTTGATCCACCCGGTGACTGTGAGCCTGAGTCAGTCGGAAACCGAGCATTAGCGGGTAACCACTTCCTCCACTCATTATGCCTCCTTACCTTGTCTCCCTGCAACATTTGGGAAAAAATTAGCCCATCTGGATAAAATGACTGCATATGGTAGCATCATTTCAATTTTCTTGATAATGGCAGCAATACCTCCTAACACAAGAATCTAATATCCCACTACATAAAGTAACGTGCCTTTTACATTAAACAGAACCCCATTACAGATCACAACGAACATATATCACAAAATTTTCAACAAATTCAGGGAACTCAAAGTCAAAAATCACTCACCTAAAAAAACAAATAAAATTGGAATCTCAAATCCTTTATACAATATGATGAGAGCAAATTACTTAGGTGCTAATTAACCTTGAAATTCTCTCACCAAAAAGCTTATCTACTTATGACATAGAAATCGGGTCCATAACGTAAATAAGTTACCTGTACTTCCACAACTGTTGAGGCTCGCAACGAATCCAAAATAAACTGGATGTTGCTTGTCAAACACTGAACCTGCAATACCATACATAGAGAAGACAAAATTTGTGCATGGAGATCTCACTAACACAAAAATGAAACTGAAATGTGAATCTAAAAGCATAAGCTAATAAATTACATGCATAGATGACATATTTTTACAATACAAGCCTCATAAATAGCCAGAATTGATCATTTGTCAATGATCTTTTCTCCTATGGAGGGATTTAAAACAAGTCATCAGGACATGATAATACACAATCTAATTCCTACATGAATTATACTCTTAAAAGCAAGGTCGATTGGTAAATAACTGTCAGTAGTTTTGTAAATGAAATATATTAAGATCATTGGTAAAATAAAGATAAAGGCAAAATAACCATGAAGTTAAACTACAATTCAAAGGCTTCGCAAATAGTTCCCATGACAAGGGTTTTGATTTTACTTTACTGTCAACATCTACAAACATTAAGTAGACAAGATCACCAATTCTTTAGTGACTTTTGTTCAATGACGGACTAACAAATTAATGAAAGAGTACCCTGTCAATTGAACAAATCCATCAATGTAAGCCAAAGAAAATAAATTAAAACTCTGGCATTCTCTCTGGGAGACAGTAAACCAATGATTAAAAATCAAGACACAAACACCATAGCCAAGAATAACACAGAATATTTTCTTTTATCAAGAGCATATTACTTACTCGAGGAAAGCTAGCAATTAAAGTGATGGGAACCCAACCATGATCATCCATTTTCGACCTTAAAAAATTGTCTTTTACCAAGTTCTCATCACTGCAATGCAAAAGCAACTGCATGACCAATCCAAATTTGGTTTCCAAGAGGCAAAAACGAAGTGGGAAAACATAAAGTAATATCCAACAGTGCAAAATACCTGAAATAATAGTCTATCTGATTGAGTAACAAAGCAGGCAAAGAAAGATCCACTAGAGGGTAAAACATTGGCGGCGGCGGCGGTGGTGGGGGCGAGCCATGAGCAACAAAAGGCACACCTCTGAAGGAGTCCGGAGGCAGTGTTGGGAGATAATAGAATGGACCTACCATATCTGAAAGAAGCCAGATACATTAGTTAGAAATCCACTCGACAAAGGCCTACATGGATACATGTATAGGATCTGATAAACTTACCAAAACCCATAGGGTTCGCATAGGGTCTCACAGGAGAGGGTGCAATGAAAGGGGAAGGACTGGGGGGTGGTGATTGTATAAATCCCCTCGGAGGAGGGGGAGCCATCTGCTGCGGCATATGCACATCCCGTGCATTAGAACCTCGAGGACCATTCCATTCACGCCCCTGATTGTGTCTTACTCCATGACCATTGCGATGCATTGCATCTCCATAGGGGCGGGGCCCAAAGTTACCCCTGTGGGAAGAATTTCTTTGAGAAGAGTGATCATTCACTGTATGGAATTGAGACCCACCCTTGAATGGAGGTTCTCTTACGGTTGAATCCAGCATTGCCGGCCCCAGACCTCTATAAGCCATTTGAAATAAAGGAAATGGCGGTGGCAGGGGTGGAGGGGTTGGTGGCCGACTGAAGTCATTCTGTGCCGGTCCGCTTCCCATGCCACCGCCACCACGATGCTTCATCGATTTCTGCCGAGCAAGCATGGTTTTGTTGGGAGTAAAATTAGGGTTTGCGTTAGTTTTGGCTTGATTCTGAGGTGTGTGTGAAATTACAGGTCCCTATAATGAACAGATATAAAAGCAATAATCATCCAATCAAACGTATAATAAGAACCAATCTTTCAATCATCCAAATTCTTACGCATGCCTATATCAATAGGTTTTCGAAGAACTGAACCTGAGAAATAGAGTCTGACTTATCAGAAGGCGTTTTCGGTGAATCGGAAGTCGATTTAGGCGTTGGACGAGTCGACTCGGAGAGAGCAGGCCAAGAAATAGTACCTCCCATTACCGTATTAACCTCAACGACGCCGTTCAAGGGTTTTTTCCAGGCAGGTTTCTTTGGACGACCGACATTGTCGTTAGTATCATCGGAACTCTCCAACTGAGTCTCCGGTGTAAACTTTTCAGGCGGAGCTTTCGGAGAGAAATAAGTTTGCTCCGCCGCAGAAAGCGGCGGCGACGAGGATGATGATGATGGAGAGCAAGAAACGGCTGAGATTGCTTCGTGCTCGGTGCCACGAACAACTTGGGCCCACGGTAAACTACTCCGCCGTTGCAACTGAGGACCATTGTCGCCGCCGTCGCCGCCGGGAGTAACCGGAGAACGTGGGGAATGGTTATTTGTTGAAGAATCGGCCGTCATGACCATTCAAAATTAGGGCAAACACGAACACAAACAGGAATCAAAATAATTGATCAATACTCAATGACAGAATAATTAACAACAAATTGACAAACGTATTGAAACCATATTTGATGACGATCGGATCGTAAATTGAGAACTTTCGAGAGCATGAAAAGATCAAGCCGTAGATCGAGCCGTCGTACAGTGATCCTCTCTCCTCAATTTTGTTATGCTTCTTCGGCTTTGTGGGTTTTTTGGAACTTCTCCGGTGTGGTGGTGCTACTGAAGGTGTTTTATATTATTTTAAATTACCAAAAAGGGACTGCTTTGTCCTCTTTATTTCTTTTCCTAGCCACTACAGAGCCCTAATTGCTTTGGACTTCTTCTTTTTATGTTTTTAGGGATTTGGAGACGAGTTACTCAGCCCAATAGTATTCCAAAAAATACTCGCTCCTCAATTTTCTTTTAAACTGAGTCGCTGTTAAAAAGTCAAAGTGACGTGCATAACTAACGATCTTTGCAAATCGTACCTAATTTTAACATCTATTTTAAAAATTTTCTCATCATAATATATATTTTTCTTTATAAACATAAATCGTAAGACAAATACATAATTAATATATATATATATATACATACTTTCAAGTCAAAAAATAATAGATATTAATAAAAAATATAAAAAATAACATGTAAGTAATAATCGTCAGACAGATACACTAAAATCACATATCATCAACAGGTATATTAAAAAACAGATTGTCAAACAAATACACTAAAATACAAATCGTTAATGTACATTTTTCTCCATAATAATAGATCGTTAGATATGTACATTAAAACATAGATTATCAGACAGGTACACTAAAATACAGATCGTCAGACAGGTACACTAAAACACAAATCATTAATATATATTCTTTTCTATAAATACAGATTGTCAGACAGATACACTAAAACATAGATTGTCAGATGTCATTATAACGTTCAAATTACTTGGTTCACGAGTCTGAATTTCAAAACTGAAGGACAATATTACAAAAACCTCAATAACAAAGGCAAAAAGAAAAAAGAAAAAAAAAACTAATTAAATTTTAGGTTGAAATCAAATAATGAGCACAAAATAAGGAATGAAAATTAGTAATTAATCAATCCCTTAACATTCACGCCAACATAAGGGACTGCATGCAAGTTTTTTTTAAAAACAAAATGACATTTTTTATACTAAAATTAGTTTACACATTAAAGAAGGAACCCTAGTCTAATTATTATTATTTATTTTTTTTGAGAAATTTTGGAGCCTATCCCCTTTTGTGGATTTATTTGGACTTAAGTTCACTCAAAGAAATTATCTAGGAACAAGTCCATTTTAATCTCCATTGTTCAAAATACACTCAGTTGCTATATTTGATTAAAACAAAATTTAAAACTATTAAATACAAAAAATAGTAACATTCAAAAATAAAATATACTAACATTGAATATCAATATTTGAGAAAATAACAATAGTAACATGTTCAACAAAAATAATAATATGTTCAATAAAAACAATAATATGGTCAAAAAAAAATAGTAGCATGGAACATTCAAACCCACAAATAGTAATATCTAAAAAAAATAGTAATATATAATCGATATCAATAATTCAATCATGATTAGCTACCAAATTAATTATCTTTCAAGCATTGCTAGTTTCAAGAACATTTCTAAAATCAATAGATAAAGTCAACCAAAATCACACCCTAAATTCACAATATGATTTCATTCAAAAAAGCAAACACGACTATTTGAATGTTTTTGAATCATAAACAAATCCAAGTCACACCAACTTTACTTCTCCATCTTCATCAAGTATTGCCAAAGGCCTTCGGGAAGGTGACCATAACAACGGTGAGAGATTGTGAGCATGGAAGTCATCAACGCCAAAGCAATTGCAGTTTCCACACACACACACACTCATTTCAATTGGAAACTTAAAGGATTTGAGATTATAAAGGTTTTTTGTTGTTGATGTGAAAGGGAGAACAAGATGAGAGAAGGTTGTTGGAACATCCATCCTTGTTGGTGACGTTGCCGGACTTAATTTTGATGAAAATGGCACCGTAGGAGACAACGCTGGGTTGTTAACTAGAGTTTCAGACTAATGGAGAAGAATTGTCGAAATAGGAGTTCTAGAAGAGCTTTTCGGTGGTAGGTGTGGGACTTGAAGACATAGCCTGATCCACGAAGAGAAAGAGAGATCTTTGAATTTGAATTTCAAATTTATGATGAAGATTTTATTAGTATATCTCCATTGACATTTAATTAAGGAATAACAATTTTCAAAATAGGAAATTAATTTAACGCTACTTCTAAGAAATGGTATTTTGGAGTTTTGGAAAATTAATGGACTTAACTACGTATTAATAAGATAAAAATAGGACTTATCCCCAAATGAGTTTTTTTTATGAACTAAACTCATTAAAAGTCTCTTAGGGAGGACTCATTCACAATCAAGGGTTAAAAAATCAACAAAGAATTGTGCATAAACTTTAAAGACCACCAATATAATTATCCTGAATTTTTCATGTACTTCTTCTAGTGATTGATGGATTTGTTATCTAGTAAGAATTGTTGTGTTGATAGTTTTTTTGCAACTATATCTTACTACTATATCTTACTAGAAGAAGATTTATGTCCCACTCCTTTTCATTTATATATATGTTAGTGATAACTATAACTGGTAGAAATCGTGCATTCGGATCTTATCCCTAAATGGAAGGATTTTGGTTGACCTGGTGTATGTCAAAGCGATCACCTAGTAGCCTTTTATCTCCATCCCACATCGGGTAGAAGTCGTCTCCCCCCTGTCATGTAAACCCTTGCACTTAATGGAGGAGGTATCCACTACGCACCTGATCAAGTCGCTAGTGGGTACCTCCCCATTAAGTGCAAGGGCTTATATAGTAGGGGGTGAGACGACTTCTACCCAATGTGGGATGGAGGTAAAAGGCTACTGGGTGGTTGCTTTGGCACACGCTAAGTCAGCCAAAATTCTTTCCGTTCAGGGATGAGATCCGAACGCTCGATTTCTACCTCTAACAAAGATCAAGTGTTAATGGGTACCTCCTCCATTGAGACCAAAAGCTTATATGGCAAGGGGGAGACGACTCCTACCCTGATGTGGGATGGAGGTCAAAGGCTACTGGGGGGTCGCCCAAGGGGTTAACTCAGGTCAGCCAAAATCCTTTCGGAGAGATGCAATCTTGTCCACCAAAAGGTGCCTTTTTGTTAGGGGTAGAAATCGCGTGTTCGGATCTCATCCTTGACCAGAAGGATTTTGATTGACTTGGCGTGTGCCAAAACAACCACCCAGTAGCCTTTTTAACCTTTATCCCACATCGGGTAGGAATCGTCTCTCCCCCTGCCATATAAGCCCTGGCACTTAATGAAGGTGGTACTCACTAGGCACCTGATCAGGTCGTTAGTGGGTGCCTCCTCCATTAAGTGCAAGGGCTTATATGGTAGAGGGGAGACGATTCCTACCCGATGTGGGATAAAGGTAAAAAAGGCTACTAGGAGGTTGTTTTGACACACGTCAGGTCAGTCAAAATCCTTCTGGTCAGGGATGAGATCCGAGCACGCGATTTCTACCCCTAACAATAACTTATACCTGAATGTACGATAAAATATAAAATTCGAGCGTTTAGAAAAATCTATCACACTATGTTTATCCATTATTTTATTAAAAATATCGACAATTTTTTTTCAAAATACGTATCTGACAAAATTTTATCACCATATGTATATTATCGTATATGAATAATATTTGAAATAAAAATTATATTAAACTGTAAATTAATTAAATATTAAAATAATTAGGCATGTGATAGAAATGAGTGACGTGATATTTTTGAGGAGAAAAATATATGTGGATAAAATCAATTATACCCACTACTATATATACTTTCATCTAATTTTTATTTTTTACTCTTATTTGACTTTCAATTTATTTTCAACTCTTTTATAAAGACTTTTAAATTATTTTGAACTCATTTATTAGTAGTTAAATTGTATACAATTTTCTATATTTATGTGAAGAAATAAAATCATATATATATTAAATTATTATACAAATGTAGTTATCAGATTGAATTATATAGTCAAATATAAATTATATTTTATTTTTTTGGTATGCAATAATATAATAGTATTATGAACGATCTAATCAATCTATTTTGAAAAATAAAAATTAATAATTTTTAATATAATTAGTGTGCAAATGCTTAAAAAATTTGGAGAGATGCTTCAATAAATGATAGATTAAGTACTCAAAGTTAATTGAATAAATTAATAATTAAATTTAGTAATAATTAAAATATATTAATTATTTAAATTATAATTTATTTTTTAATTTAAATATGCATATAATTCATATTTTTTTATAAAAAAAATTTATTTAAATTTATTTACGTGCAACGCACGTCGTGGATTACTATAATGTATAAATATAGATATCAATATAGATACATATAAATAGATATATAGGACCGTATATGTTAATAAACCTTTATTTTTTTAGAGATAATTTTTGTTATTAAAGTTTTAATATATATATATATATATAATTGTCCAAGTCAAACTCTCCAATGGTTTGAACTGAGATGAGAATAGATAAAATAAATGTAGTAGAGTTTTGTAAGAATGTAGATTAATAAAAATCATCAGATCAATAATACTGAATCGATCTGAGTCGCGAAAAGGTCAAGACAAACTAAGCTTGCTATTTTATGAAGTTTAATTTTTATTTCTCCTACACTGTTTTGATACAAGTTAAAGAGTTTATAAAATTAAAGTGCATCAATATAATATACGAGTAATATAAATTAGCATTCATAGCGTGACTTCGTAATATTATGTGTTTTTGTGTGTGTGTATATATATACATATTAATGACAAGAGAAATATGTTTAATGGTAAGGATAATGACAAAAAAGTTTAAAACTTAAAACGATTAAGATATCGATAATCAACATTAAATGCAAAATTTGTGATAATATGATTCTACCATTATATTAAGAAATCTTTAATACAATAAAATAAAATAAAAAATCAACTTAACTGCCAATAGAAATATGCATGATTTTAAGGGAGGGCAAATATGTTAAAGAAAAATCATAAAAAGTTAAATTGTGTATTTGAACACAATTAAATTCTAAAAATAAAGACTTCATGACCTAACACAATTAGTGTTTTCGTTGAAGATATTAAACATTTTTTTAGAGTTCTAGATTTATGGTTTTTGTACGAGTCAAGAGCTCTTCATAGAGCAGTTCATTGGATTGCAGCGCACCCT